TATACCAGGGGGCTTCCAAAAAGTCAGTAGAAAAATTCCATTATCTTTTCATTCCATAGCTCCATCAACTCTTTGAAGTGCCCTCGAATGGCAGACTTCAGGATTTTCAGACTCTAAAAAAGATTCTGCAGCAGGGCATGGGGCTGCACCATGTGGTAAAACAGTTTGTTCGTCAGGTCACTGATGGAAAAAGATTACAACTGTCTCCTGGGTTTTGTTGCCAAATCAGTGTGCCCTAAACATAGGAAAAAGCCGTTGATTTGGGTAGTTGCTAGATTGTGGAACTGTTGGAAAGGAAGATTGTGTTAAAGCTGGACCATGGTTTGTGTAACCAGACCCAAGTGGTGCTGGGCATGCTGGTTCCCAGTCTTGCTATGGAGTGGCACACAATAATAACCTCTTACATGTGCTTTGAGCTCTGAAAGGGTCAATTTGCAGGCATAGGGTTTTATTCTGCGTGCCAGGGCAGGGTCTGAGGCTAGGGGAAAGCAAGATTAGAGGTGCATTTTAAAAAGTTCCTTTTGGTTGCTGTGTGAATTGGAGTTGAGGGGGAGGTAAATGGAAGTCAGAATCAACTTGATGGCAATGGACTTTAGAAGGGGAAGTCAGCAGGAGCTGGGGAGGGGCTCTTGGGGTCGTGACCCTAACAGGAGTTAAGGCCTCCCCAGTGACAGTCATGTGTCCCTGCCCCCGACCCCCACCTCGTAGGCTCGGACATAATCATGCAGCTCGACGATGTGGTCAGTAGTACTGTGACGGGGCCACGTGTACAAGAGGCGATGTACAGGTTTGTGTTCCAGCCCAAGTGTGTGTATGTGTCCTGCAGCCCCGTCTTCCTAGCTTCACCAGGCCCCTAACGCCCGTGACCAGAGCTCTCTTGCAGGTCAATCCGTTGGCTGGACCGGTGCCTTGCAGCCCATCAGCGGCCGGATAAGCAGAACCTCTTTGCTATCATCCAGGGTGGGCTGGACGCAGATCTCCGAGCTACCTGCCTAGAAGGTAAAAGTAAAACTTTGTACTGGTAGCACCAGGGCTTGTCCTTCAGTGAGGCCTCACCTGGGTCTGGCACACAGCGGTGCTCAGGTTGTGCTCTTTAATGTGTGAAAGTGCCCTTTCCACACAGAGGGAACTGCTCATGCCAAGGCCAAGAGGCTACACAGTATAGTGCTTGTTGAAGGAACAGCAGTCATCTCAATAGCTAATGGTTTTCAGGCACTCACCAGTTGGCCCATGGAGTCTTCCCAGTCATGTTTTAATGTGACAGACGAGCTGCCAGGCTTCTGAGTTTACAGATGGGGAAATGGAGGCACTGAGCTCTTCATTTACCCACTTGGGACCACACAGCTTGGAGGTTGCAGGACTGGGCTGGGGAGCCAGGCCTCCAGGCTCCAGAAGCTGCAGCATTAACTGCTTCACTGTACTGCTCCTGCCTGGGAGATACACTGAATCAAACCTGAGGAGCTGAGGCTGGGGCTGGGGCATTGAGCTGATGGTGGAGGCCCTGGGGAGCCACTGAGGATGGCTGAGCAGAAGAGTGACAAGAAACAAGGAGTATGGGAGGAAAACCCCACATTGATGCTGATAGGTGTGGTGTCATTGGAGGTTACACTGTGTTTGACCCTGTTCTGAAGGCTTGTCATGTGTCTTTAATTATTTTTAAAATTTTTATTGTGAACTGAGTGATAGTTTAAATAGGAGAACATGGGTTTTACACTCATTGTTTCATTGCAGTGATTACAGTTTCCTCTGTGCATCATCATTTAACAGTGTTTCCTTCTATTCCCTCTGATTTTTTTTTTTTTTTTGGGGGTGGTGGGCCATTACACAAAAACACTCAGGAATATATAATCATTTAAACAACCAAATGGCACATGCTGCA